TAAATAAGATTGAATGTTTGCTTTTTTCGTTGGTTTAAAATAGAAAGACGAAATACACGCCTATTTAAGTATTTATTTTTTTTTGACACTATTAACGTACAGCACGTACGTATATTATTTCTAAACTTTTTTTATTCGATTAATAATCATTTGAATGTCTAAGCTTTTCTGTTCGATTGGTGCAAGCGATGACGAGACATTGGCCTTTCAAAGTTATCATTTATTATTTATCAAACTCGGCTCATGAAAAATCCGATCATATACGCTAGCAGTAGAGCCGACCCGGTAAATATTAAATGATAAAATTGAAAGCTCGAAGCCTCATTTTCTCTTGGCAACACTATATACGTCATAGAGACTATTTTCAGCTTGGATGAAAGTATTTCGGTAAATATGAAGTTTCTGAAACACCTCGGCAAATGCCGAATTTCCGAGATACCTCGGCAATTTCATAGTGCCGAGATACCTTCGGCCAAGCTAAAATAGTCTCTACGACATATATAGGTACGACATATATAGGTAGCACTCATTTATAGAACTCTAAGAATGTACATCCCATGCATAATGTAAGAACTTTCGATTTAAGCCGATTATTACAGTTAGACAAAAATTTAGATGTACATTCGTACGTACGTACGTACTTACATACATACGTATGTACTGTATGTCTTTATACTACGGACAAAAATCTCCGAACCAGTCTGCTTAGCCATTTCAATCCTAAATATAATTGGTTTATACAAGCTAATTTGAAATTTTTAATACCCAATATTTTAAGACATTTCGATTTCTAATTTAAGAAATTTGTAAATAGAAATATTTGGCATGAAAATTTTTACTTCTTTTGTTCTGCATTTTTAAAATTTATTTTTAAGGAAAGAACAAGTTTTATCATATTAAAAATAAGATGAAATAGATAATCTATATCATTGATGGAATTTATGCGAGTATGTACGTTAAATACATGCGTATATACTTATTTGATTGTTAAAGTTCGTTGGAAGAATCTTAAATATATATGTATAAATGAAATTCCTAAATTCTTTTTAAGCTCTAGTCTAGTGAGTATTGTGACGAGACTTTTGATTAAAGATCTGAAATAACGCCAGAAAAAAATTATCCTTTAATCTGCATTCTTGGTATTGTCATTTGAGTGAAGCCTGTAATTTCTTTTGTAGATACTTATTTAATTCTATTATTATATGTGATAGGCTGACGTTCTGTAGGAAATGAAATTCCGAAGAATTCCGAAGTCTTCGAGAATGGTCATATTTGCTTTAACGTCTTCGAAGAATCATTTAATTTTATATTTGTAACCAGTACTATAAATAAACGAACGTAACACATTTGTGATCATATATTATAACAATCAATTTGGGATCGTAAAACTGTGTTATAATGAAAGTTCCCAATTTAGTAATGCAGTAATTAATAATGCATAAAGCCGGTAATTGATGATTTTCTGTCATCGTGTAACAATGCTTTGTGGCGAAAATTTATATTTATAAACAATTTGTTTATAAGAAAAAAAAAATCCTAAATATTTTTAAAGATCAACTTATACTTCGTTATGGAATAACGAAAAAACTCAATCTTTAATAATTAATGCTCTCTCTTTTTTTTTAAATAACTTAATACTTTGTGATTTTGATATTCCAAAAATTTTTTCTTACTTTACTTATAGCACCATCATTCTAAGTCTTTTTTTAACGGTTAAACAGTTAAAATGAATCAATATATAAAAAAAGCTTTAGACGGCGGTTACATAAATTCAATAGATTACGACTCATTTTCTGATATCGAAGAAATTAAGCAAGGAATAAAAAGTAAAGTTTTCAAAGCCTACTGGAAACATTCTGGTCAAATTGTTGCATTAAAAACTTTCGATATTTACCCTGTGGGAAATGATTGTTCTTCATTTGAAGAATTTATTCATAAAGTGAGTTTATTAGACTCTGTTTAATGAAGTCCTATTTAATTCAATTTCATTTACGCCTAATTTTTATGCTAATTAATTTATGCCTATTCCTTATGCTAATAACTTTTTGTAACAAATAGTTTCAATCAACTCAAATTATTAAAGATAATAACGTTGCTAAATTTTATGGTGTTAGTAAAGGTAGATTAATTTTTTAATTAATTAATACCTTTTATTTAATTTAATGCTGTATTAAAATTCTTGCCTTTTATAAAGGACAAATAAATTACTTCATGATATTAGAGTACGCCAAAGATGGAAATCTAAGAGATTATCTTCGCCAAAATTTTAAAAATCTTGATTGGAAAAAAAAGATTTCTATTGGAAAGCAAATTGCTAATGGGCTTAAAGCTATCCATGATCAAAATATTGCTCATAGAGATCTGGTAAAGATCTTTGTTTTTTTTTTATTATTATTTATTTAATTTAATTTATTTATTTATTAATAATATACTATCCATCATTATGTATTATGCTTACATTACAGAATCCAAACAATGTATTGGTACACGAGGATCGAATGATAATTAGTGACTTTGGAATATCAAAATCAAGTCTTCTTGCATGGGATTCTTTTACAAAAGGAATGGCAGCATATATAGATCCGATGTGTTTAAAAAATAATGGTTACAAACGAGATAAAGCATCTGATATCTACAGTTTTGGAATGATTCTCTGGGAAATATCAAGCAATAAAAATCCTTTCGAAAACAAAACTGCCATGGATCTAAAGAATAAACCAGAACATGAAATTCCAATTCCAGATACTCCAAAAGGATATCAATTACTTTATCAACGAGCTTGGAGTTTTCATCCTCAAGAACGACCTTCGATCGAATATATTAATGAGGAACTCGATGAGATGTTAAAGAATTCAAAGTCTTCTTTCTTCTCAGATCTTTTTGGAAAAAAACCAAAAAATCATGTCTCCTCATTTGTTAATTCCTCAACCCAAATTAATTCCGATAATTTCTCAACTCAAATTCATTCTGATAACGCAAATATAATTCACCATCGAGTTGTCTCAGAATCCACCAATCCATCTGTTTCAAAAATCATTCCTGAAATTAATGATAGAAACTCAGGTCCACCACTTCCTAAAAAACCTTCTTATATTGGTATTAACCAAGAAACTGTAATTCCTCCCAACATTCCTAAAAAACCTCCTGATAATCTTATGAATTCTGACTCAAATGTTGATCAACTGAATTCCATTCAACATCAACATTATAGGCGTTATGAGCTCGAAGAGCAACAAAATTTGGCATTTTCCAAAGATCCAATACAGGATCAAAATAAATCTACTCCTTTTCAACAAAACAGTATTCATCATAAAACTCAATATAACTCTGATCCAATTAGTCAAAGCCCACATCCTCAATATGGTTACTACCAACCACCACCTCATTTGGCCATTTATTCTTAATAGCTATAAATAATGCATTTGGAGCAAAATAAGGTTCAGGAAATGTTAATTTACATGAGATATTAGGATCAGCACCTTTTTTTAGTAATAAATCAATTATCGAAATATCATTCCCTGCATTATATTTTTTGCTCAAACAGTTGATTAATAGTGTTCGTTGGAAGAATCTTAAATATATATGTATAAATGAAATTCCTAAATTCTTTTTAAGCTCTAGTCTAGTGAGTAT